GCCGGGTTTGCACGAGGTTCCTCACACGTCTCCAAGAACCCAGCCCACTGGCTCTTTACCACTCTTGTATATATAGGCGAGGCCCACGTGACCGTACTTAGGTCACGCCACCCCTCGGCTGTTATAACAGTGAATTAGGCCGGATGACTCCCAAAGCCTTGGTGTCTCCCGTTTCCGCGGTTTCTTCCCTTTACGGAAAACCCCTTCTTCCTGTGCGAGGCGTGGCGAGGCTAATCCTCTACCAAGCGTCCCCAAATAGATGTCATGAGACACGCTGGCTAATACGTTACAATAGTATAATTTTTTTCTTGAAGGAAATTGCGTCCAAAAATTAGATCTTTAAAACATTATGTACATTATTTCAAAAATAACAATAATTTTCAGGTAACTTCTCTTGCAGCCAACGCAATTTTTTAAAATTAAAAACGGCTCCAATTTTTGCTGTAAGTTTTTTTCTTGAACATAGTACAAATGTGTCTTAAAATGGCGCAGGTGTCGTATGTTTGGCGCAGGCAGTCTCTGAAATTTCCAAAATTGCAAATTTTCTAATACCGCGACAAATCTCTCGTTTGGCTTGAGGTCTGAGATGGACAGATCTGCGCGTTCAGATATCGCGGTGAATGTTGTGTAATTGTTACGTCAACCCGCAATCTATCGCGCGCAATCTATACATTTTCGTACTCAGAACCTGTGTCCAATATGGGTCCCATTCTACCACATAGATTTTTCGTGTATTCGACCTACTTCTCTTTCGATTATGCAGTCGCGTTTTACTAAATGGTATACTTCGCGTACGCGGTCGCTCAAAAGTCTGATATTCCGTGAGTTTTTGCAAACCGGGAATCGGAGGCGGCGCGAGACATTTTTTAGTCCATTCAAGTCGAAATATAAAAACAGAAGAAGGATATTCGTTGTTAATGAGCGCTCTTTAGGTGCCGAAATCACATGAGGCGCGAACGCGGTGCCGTCTCATAGATTATAGTTTTTCGAGGTGACGAGTGGTAATAGCCGTCCTTCAAGCGCGTTCGATAACATCAAACTCCAAAAACAACGCCTTCGCGAGTCTGCGGGGTCGTCCGCATGCGTCCCCCCCCCGCTCTGCTCACCAGGTGACCGAGCGTCGTCGCTGGGAATTAACTGCAGGCGTGTTGGCGATCCCCTCATACACATCCTGCTCATAGACCAGTCATCGCTCGGTGAAAATACTCAATACGGCGCAAGAAACTAAACGTACACCCCAATGGGTATCCGAACACTGGGATTTTATAAGCCTAACACACGTCGGTTTCTATGCAGGATCGTAATCAGAATTGCCAACCGACTTACGTTGCGGAGTTTTTTGCAGATGATATTTATTTAAATCGTGTTTACTATTAGGAAACGTAATAAAATATTAAATTGATAAATGTCACTCACCTGGTTTTCGTATGCTTGTAAGTAATGTTCATTTACGTAATTCCGTTATGTACTTTTCTTAATGTAGGGCGAAAAGCGTTCCGAACCCTTCGTGAAATAATGGAGAAGAATGAGTGTCCGTGTGTGTGAGAGCGAGAGAGCCAGAAAGAGAGAGAGAGAGTGAGAGAGAGAGAGAGGGGGGGGAGAGAGTGAAGAGAGAGAGAGACGAGAAAGAGTAAGATTGTGATTTCGGTTATGCTCTCGAAAATGTTCGAACTCAAAGGAATGTTTAGTCATGGATAAAATATGGGTAATTCACATGCGAGACGCAACTATGTTGGAAAAATACCATTCAAGACTTCCATTGATTAAACGTTCAAAAAATATTTTACGTGTAAAATTGATGTAAAGAAGGAAGAAATCAGTGGAGAGAAAAAAAAAGCTTATTTTATTTCGGAGTGAATTTTCTCCCTCTAGCGCGTCTTTGTTGCGTGTTCAAAGTGTAGTAATACAAAACAGTGGTGCACTTTCACTTGAGTTGTGCCGTTACATTAACGAAAACATTTTATAGGGAAAAGAATCTCCACAGAGAAATGTAGTTTCATTCATACACGTCATATTTTTTAAATATTTAATGCTCCTTTTGCCATTTTTGAGGAAATTTTTCATGCAAGCGTCATAATCAGAATTTGACAACGTAAAAGGGATCTGTGTACTTAATTTCGAGGAGAAAAAATCGTGAGCAACCCATTATTTTACGAGTTTTTCAACGTACTTTTACGTCGGCACGAAAACGATTTCACTCTGTGGCACGAGACTTCACGATTTCAATTCCACAGTTAACCCGGCGAGATCCCCGTCGAGTGGAAAGCCAGAAACTTTAACCGGCGAAATTCGTTAGGCTGTGACGAGATAAAAGTTAAACCAATTGAGGTGGATCGCACGCAAGCAACGCATCCATTTCGAAACGAATTCCTCCCGCGGGGTTACAGGTGGTTTGCAAAAACCGCGGCGTCTAACCTTAGCTTACGGCACCGCGTGTAGATTGCTGGGCGAAACCCAGGGCGGGAGACCCGCTTC